TTCCATGGATAACAGAATGTCAGCTGTAGATATTCCATGAGTAACAGAAAGTCGGGTGTAGAATACCATGGATAACAGAAAGTCGTGTTTAGATATACCATGAGTAACAGGAAGTCGGGTGTAGATATATCATGAGTAAGAGAAAGTCAGGTGCAGATATACCATGGGTAACAGAAGGTCGGGTGTAGATATTCCATGGATAACAGAATGTCAGCTGTAGATATTCCATGAGTAACAGAAAGTCGGGTGTAGAATACCATGGATAACAGAAAGTCGTGTTTAGATATACCATGAGTAACAGGAAGTCGGGTGTAGATATACCATGAGTAACAGAAAGTCAGGTGCAGATATACCATGGGTAACAGAACGTCGGGTGTAGATATACCATGGGTAACAGAATGTCTTGTGTAGGTATACCACGAGTAACAGAAAGTGGGATGTAGATATACCATAGGTAATAGAAAGTTGGATGTAGATATTCCATGGGTAACAGAAAGTTGGGTATCAATATTCCATGAATAACAGAAAATCAGGTGTAGATATAACATGGGTAACAGAAAGTAGGATGTTGATGCGCCATGAGTAACAGGAAGTCGGGTGTAGATATACCATGGGTAACAGAAAGTAGGATGTTGATGCGCCATGAGTAACAGAAAGTCGGGTGTAGATATACCATGGGTAATAGAAAGTCGTTTTTAGATATACCATGAGTAACAGGAAGTCGGGTGTAGATATACCACGAGTAACAGAAAGTCGTGTTTAGATATACCACGTGTAACAGAAAGTAGGTTGTATATATACCATGAGTAACAGAAAGTCAGGTGTAGATATACCATGGGTAACAGAAAGTAGGATGTTGATGCGCCATGAGTAACAGAAAGTCGGTTGTAGATATACCATGGGTAACAGAAAGTGGGGTGTAGATATACCATGGGTAACAGAAAGTCGGGTGTTGATATACCATTGGTAACAGAAAGTCGGGTGTAGATATACCATGGGTAACAGAAAGTCGGGTGTAGATATTCCATTGATAACAGAATGTCAGATGTAGATAGTCCATGAGTAACAGAAAGTAGGATGTTGATGCGCCATGGGTAACAGAAAGTCGGTTGTAGATATACCATGAGTAACAGAAAGTGGGGTGTAGATATACCATGGGTAACAGAAAGTCTTGTGTAGATATACCATGGGTAACAGAAAATCGGGTGTAGATATACCATGGGTGACAGAAAGTCGGGTGTAGATATTCCATGGATAACAGCATGTCAGATGTAGAGAGTCCATGAGTAACAGGAAGTCGGGTGTAGATATACCATGGGTAACAGAAAGTAGGATGTTGATGCGCCAGGAGTAACAGAAAGTCGGTTGTAGATATACCATGAGTAACAGAAAGTGGGGTGTAGATATACCATGGGTAGCAGAATGTCTTGTGTAGGTAAACTATGAGTAACAGAAAGTCGGGTGTAGATATAACATAAGTAACAGAGAGTCGGGTGTAGATATACCACGAGTAACAGAAAGTCGGGTGTAGATATACCATCGGTAACAGAAAGTCGGGTGTAGATATACCATGAATAACAGATAAAAATGTGGACAAACAGGTGGATTATTGTTAATGAATATACAAAGTCACAATAGGTTGACTTATTGTCCTTAAATGCAATATCTAGAATGCATCATCTCTGTGTGAGCAATGTAAGCTGTAAACGGAAAAGACGCCAATCTGTACATAGCAGTTGAAGGGAGGATTTGTCCTTGATGATTACAAAACTGCAAGTCATAGTGATGTCGTTTCAGTCTTGCCGACATTGAATAGACGTGCACTGCTGAGAAGGAGGTTATTGTGTGTATCGGGACGAAGAGCGGATATTCCTCACGAGGATCCCCCACAGGCTTCAGAGATGCAGTGACAAGAAGTTTACACGCGTGCTAATTTGTTTACATCTGATGCATGCGGAGGTATTGACAAGGCAAGGGAGGCTACTCCTGTCTGTCTCACAGTCCCTGAACCACAACATTTTCCCTACTGCCGAGCCCTCACTGCAATGCTAAAGCCCCGAATGAAGCACTTCTAGATTTGTCTAGGTCATTAATCTCCCAACTCACTGGGGCTCCTTTTAAATTTAAATGATTGTATTTATAAACACTGTCAGGTTTACAGATAACTGCAGCCAAGATCTTCAACCTCCGTTGGGGATAAGGAGTTAGAGGACTTGAAACAATGTAAATATAGAGCTCGTGGAGCTCACAGCTATTTTGATCCGAGTCTGGATGTATTTAGAGCTTTGAGGATTAGTTTTAAGAATGTATTTAAAGCTAAAGGTAGGATTATTTCAGTAAGCAGAAGGAGAAGCTAGTTGAAGCTGGCAAGGATTCAAAACTCTTCTGGACAAATCTTTAAAAATGCAATAGTTTTGATGGTATTTGACATTCAATTTCTAATGGGTAGTGGATCGAGCATTTCATGTCACGTCTATGTATCAAAGATACATGTCACCCTATTCCGGTAGAGACATCCTGATGTCGATTTTTCCCCAGATATGTTAGTAGGTCTTAATCACCCAAATACTGAGCAGGAAGGTTTATCCCATAGCATCAGTGCAGCACATAATCAATCTCCTGGGCACAGATGCTGTAGCTACCGAGTTTTTGAAGGCTTGTAGACACCTTATTGTTCAATATTTTACTCAGCTTTCATATTGTATTTTTGATGGGAGGTAGGTTTCCCAACTCTTGGCGTGATAGTATCGTTTGCCCTTTATTTAAGCCAGGTTTTAAAAAGTGATCCAAACACTTATAGAGGCATTTCACATATAGATTCCACTTGTAAGATATTTATGTCTAATATGAATAGCCGCCTTCATGTATGGTGAGATGTACATATTATCATTAGTAAATCATAAGCTGGTTTTAGGGATAATTACTCTCTCATTCATCACATAGTTTCCTTGCAGTCCTCAGTTCAGAAATACATTAGAAAAGGGTGGAAGAATTTACTGCTTGTTTATAGACTTCTCTAAGTTAGTTGATGCTTTAAAACATGATGTACTTTTACAGTCTCTATATGAGGCTGGCATTATGGGTACGGTTCTTTCAATTATACCATCTATGTTTAACTGCTTATCTGCTTGTCTTAGAACACCAACTGGTTTACCAAAAATGTTTTCATGTAATAATGACAGTCGCCAAGGATGTGTATTAAGTCCACAAAGTTTTATCATTTTTAAATACAAGCTATGTACTATGATGGAACGTGATGATGGGCGAGGTATAACAGTTACATCATCTATGAATAATAGTTGTTCACTCATGTTTGCTGATGATGTCTCAGGTATATATGATACTTGTGTACTGCTGCAAAGAAAAAATACTGTGACCGAATCAATTTGTGAACAAAATGGTATGAATGTGAACTTAAAGAAAACTAAAATTATCTTTTTAAAAATGGTGGCCCTTTGAGGTCTTAAGAAATATGGTTTTATGATGGTATAAGGCCTATAAGGCAATATTTTCTGTCAATAATTTTCAAAGGAAATTAGGTATTTTTAATTGTGCATATTTATTTAAGATATATGGTTGTATGATCACACTTATACTATGCTATGGATCAGAAATTTGGGTCACTTCATATTGCAATACCATTGAATCTGTCCACATAAAACTTTCTTCAAATACATTAAATGTTGGAAAATCTGCTTGTAACATTCTGGTTTCAGGTGAATATGAAATAGTACCTTTGCAATTTGTATATATGACTAGGATAATAAATATTGGTGTAGATACTGTATATGCCCAATAATAAGTTATCAATTCAATGTGATTTTATGCTTTTATCTTTAGAAAATGTAGGTCGCAGTTCATGGACGACAAGGACAAAAAGTTTCTATTTCTGCATGGATTTGGCCTTGTCTGAATTAGTCAGGAAATTCAGCATCAACAGCTTTTGACAATGTTTTCAAGCAAAGATTGTATGATAATTCAATCGTGGTCTGGTCTATATAGGCAAACCGTAAATGTTTTATTATAGCAAATCATCTATTAGGGACCTTCCTCAATATCCTAAGATTTTTTTTTTCAAAATTGAGATGTTTAAGTTAGAACTTGAAACCGGTAGATGTGAAAATTTTATTTTTGCAGAGAGGTATTTCTAATCATGTAAATCCAAGAGCATTCTTATAGTTGAAGATGAATAGCATGTGTTTTATGCTTGTGAAACATATTCTGTGTACAGAAGGGAATACAAATGTAATGTTGTTGTTGGTGCTGTTTGCTATCATGGTGCTTCTGGTTTCGTTTGTGGGTCTTCCCCTGGTTAGTGGCGCTGGTCACATTCTTTTGTGTACAGCTTGTTTTTATTCCAGGTCCTGTTTCTGATGTTGTTTATGGGGCTGTTGGTGTTTGTTTGATTGTGCTTGAGTTCTTTATGAGGCTTCTCTGATGTGTATTTAGCCGGTGACGTTGTTTGGTTGATGGTGAGGTGTCTGATGATGTTGTTTGCGAGACTGAGATGACGTCGTGGCCTTTTCATAATGTCTGACGTTCATTCCAAATAATTACACTGAATTGCTGTTGCTGTGGGGCTTCTTTGTCCGGCTGCTGCCAGTGCTGACACTGTCATTCTTGTGATATTCCTACAGCTGTTCCTTTCGGCTGCCTGACATTCTTTTCATGTAACTACCTATCATCTATGTCCTTACCTTTTGACTGTAAGAACTGGGTGAGCATTGTTCCAATGTATTAAAACTGAATGTTGTTATTAGTCAGTCGTGTTTTCACCAAGATATTGAAGGAAGCCAGAATGTTGAATATGGCATTGACATATGCCATTACATTCATTGAAATTAACAAGTTTCATAAAAACTATGTACATGTATTCATAGATCTCTGATAACAATTATGTATATAAGGATAGTTGGTATTGATAACTGATGTAATTAATACAATAAATGACAAACATGCTCAAGTAAAACAATAAAAAAGAACACATTCCAGAATCTTTGTTTCAGGTTCCAGCTCAGGAATTGGGGCAGGAATTGCTATAGCTTTCTCGAAAGAAGGAGCTAAGCTGTCCTTGACGGGTAGGAACCAGAAGAATTTGGAGGAAGTGGTCAAAAACTGCAAGAAGGCGGGCTGCCAGGTGAGTAGAAAGCAATAGTGATATCAGGATGTGATCAAACTCACCTGTCACTATTCCATACATAAAATCATAGCTCAAGTTCTCCAAGGCGCCGCGATTCATTTAGCCTATGAAGGCGATCTGCAAATAGAAATTGGTTCAGTTTCCAATCATTTCACAAAAGTAGTGCCCCAAACAATCATTAACTATCCTTCCTCAGTGACAAATCGACGAAAATCACATCGTATGGGAGTAATGATTTATCCGCTTGGTCATCATTCTATTCTAGGATGTCCTCATAAATGTGGGTGACATTACACAGGATGCTTTCAGAAGGACTCTCGTGGAGTCAACCAAGAAGAAGTTCGGGAAAATAGACATTCTGGTGAGTACACTTCGTTTACGGCAGAAGAAAATATATCCATTGCGAGTGATTGCGTGGCATTTGATTGGTTCACAAAGAATGTTTAACGTTTATATTTCCATGAAGCTAAAAAAGTGGACCATTCGCGAGACGTGTTCGACTACCAACGTATCTGGCCAGGATATGCAAAGATTCTAGTGTAAACAAAGTCAGAAAATTTCAGCTGATTTTAATTTCAGTAATTTTGTCACACGAAAAATTATTCCATCAATTAAAGTATACATTACTCTCACAAGTAAACGTATTTGCCCGATTGCAGTGTCGGTCGTCTGCTAACGCGTACCAATGACGGATGCAAGAAGTGTCTGCGGCTACGTTCATTTAGAACAGCTTGAGATGATTTGCAATGCTCTGAGTTAAGGAACTATAGATTTTCAATCTGAAGACCGAAGCGTCGGGAGGATTTACGATACAATCAACGATCGCTGTTTCGAGAATCTTGGATGTCGAACATGAACCACCAAAACTACACCCCCTAGAATAAAGTAGAAAGTAACTGAAAATGATCGAAAAGATTTCCAGGACTATCGTCATTCCACGGCAGCTTATGAGAACATCCCATAAGCTCATCACATGAGCATTTAGGTCCCTATCAATTTATTCTTGTTTTGATTTGGAGTACTTGAGCTTTACCCCATCAAATGAACGTTATATCATGACTTTCTACATTAGATTTGGGCTTTACACATGATTGTACACATGGGGAATCCGAGCAGACGCTTCAACCACTAGTTTAAACTACAGTCGAAAGATGCGTTTTAAGAGATGGAGTGGTTTGTGTTCAATAGGTGGATAACGTGCAACAGTTATTTTTCTCCGAGTAGATCGTAGATCATATTATAAGTCACTGGATTGTCTGGACTCGAGTGAGTGAGTGAGTTAAGATTTCAAGACAAATCGGCAGTATTTCTGCCATATCATGACTCAAACAAGTTATACATTCATAATACATAACATTAAGTTAATATATAAACCAATGAAGAACAGTACAAACAACTAAAATAGCACATATATAGATGTAAAACTTTAACTATTTAGACAATACAACATAAAAAGGCAACCAACAGCAGAAGGTAGATCACCATACTATGGACTACAGTACTTACTCCTGCATGATTTACTCCAGCCCGTCACATGTTAGCAATTGTAGACAAATCTGGACTACATATTTACAGATTATTATTATTGATAACAGAGAGTATAGTTAAATCAGAACACAAACAAACAGGTTGCACCATGAGTCTATGTTTAGGTGAACAAACAAACAAATTGTATTATATCTATGTTTAGGTGAACAATGCCGGGATAGCAAGCATGTGTACGCTGCAATCAGCTACCAAAGATGTGTACGACACAACGATGGCTGTAAACTTGGAGGCACCTTTGTTTTTGACGCAGTTAGTTGCACCGCATTTGATTGAAAGCAAAGGTACTAGATGAACGTGAACGAAATAATCCTCTAGATATACACTCATAAGTAATTGTTCACTGGATATCCTGGGAAATGTGAGCTTTGCCATAACTTGGTCAGTTCCTCGTTTCAGAGAAAACATTGTACGTCATATGGAACATAGGAAATCTAATACCTGTATGGCGATTACCGATAAGATGTTAAAGTGAAACACATACTTTCTCCCGGAAGATGTTATGTGAGCATAGTCACTAGTTTTTAGGCTAAACATATATCTTTTTTTTCAGGAAACGTGATCAATACTTCAACCGCCGGCACGGGTACAATTGTGAGTGTGATGTCAGCAAATACAGGAATAATTCACAACTGTAAACCTGAACTTCTTGAAACATCCCTTGGCCATTTGAGTTCAGAATAGGCCACACTTACCACACACTAAGCCGAGTGCCGTGTGAGTTAAAAAAATATTATTTGTGGCGACATAAGATTAGTCCCCTTTCAAGTTCAGAAACACTTAGTTTATCCACCATTTTCGATATCCATATGAAAGAATTGAACTGGCTGGTTCAGTTATTTTCATATTATATCATTCAAGGACGTTTCTACATATGATATGTGCAGGCTCCGGGTGGCGGTATCTACGTTATGTCGAAGGTGGCCCTAGACACATTTACATGATACCTTGCTCAAGGTTAGTATGCAACCTTTTTGCCACAGTTGGGTGCCTCACTCAAGTTAGCTACGGCAATTTGCTGTGCAATATCAAAGTACCGGTAACGCAATTACTCACTCAATATAAATCACATAAATTTATTAGAAGCAAAGCCATTTATCAGAGATTTCGTGAACACATAAGAATGTAAGAGGTGCAACGCGTGGTAATACATATTGCCTTATAATAGACATTGACCTAGTGATATTTTCCTGTGGCAGAGGGAAAAGATCATGAAATCCTCCTAAGCGTGGTTAAGCAGCAAACAACATACAAACTTTCTTTGCACAGAATTGGCATCAAAGGGGGTACGTGTCAATGCAATAAAGTAAGTACACAACAACAACAACAACAACAACAATTGATGTTGAAGATATGGCTGCTAAATATCGATGGAATATGGCTTATGTTAATTTGAGTTCAGTTTAAAATGAGATTCTATAAGCATCATGTCTTCTTTAAAATGGGATTCTGGATTTATTCACAGAAGAATACAATGTAATACGTACGCAGGTATCTCACAAGGTTTACATCGCACTCACATATACAAGTTGTAGAACATCGAAACCGATTTTAGCAGATCAGCACGTGTCACAGCAGATGTATAAGACATTGAGAAGGGAAGTGTGGTACAAGATCTTTGCAAGTGAATATCACATCCATCATATAAGGTTTTCTGTATCAGAAAATCGTCGATCTTATAAGTTGTGTTGCACGTTCTGGGTTATTGATGATTATGTAATGCTTGGTTTCCTGCTATTAGTCCATATACGTGATTATTGTGAATGCTGCTTATGACACATTGTGACTATTCTTTTCAATTTACTTTCTTTATTCGATCCGGGAAGATCCGGGGTTAGAATTGGTCTTCAGTAACCCATGCTTGTCGTAAGACTCGACTTACGGGATCAGGCGGGGAGGCTCGCTGACTTGGTTGACACATGTCATCGGTTCCCAGTTGCGTAGATCGATGGTCATGCTGTTGATGATTGGATTGTCTGGTCCAAACTCGATTATTTACAGACCACGATCACCATATATAGCTGGAATAATACTAAGTGCGGCTTAAAACTAAACTCATTCACTCCCTTACTTTCTTTATTCGCTGTTAGTGCTGTGTTCGTTTTAATAGCTGTTTTCACTCTGTTTTTTTTCTCGTTGTTTCAGTCCGGGTTTTGTACCAAGTCAGTTGATTTCAAAGATGACAACTAAAGAACAAGCTGCTGAGGTAAGTACGTTCAACTCACCAAATCCGCCGTGGACACCTGTGTAATTGACAACATGAGCAACTTCACGCCCTTAGTACGAACCTGACAACCCGATACTTTTCCTGCAGCAAACACTACTGGAAGGTTAATAGACTGGTATCAGTGTAGTTAAAGCACGTAAAGCACTCTCTGATTGTAGCTCATATACCTTATTTTTTCACTCATTCATTCACGCTCTCGTTTTCAGTTGGAGAACACCATGATAAAAGTGACGCCACTTGGTCGAGCGGCTACCCCAGAAGAAATGGGTCACATTGTGGCCTTCCTAGCCTCAGATAAAGCAGGCTTTGTAACTGGAGAATGTTTTAGAGCCGATGGTGGTTTTACAATGACCACACCAGCCCTTGGGTGAATATGTTGATGGACGCAAGAGCCGCACCTGCCTCCACCATTAGAAGGTTGTGTAAAGAACACTCGAAAGTGTAACAAATACATTCCCCTACTCTACAAATGCCAGTGAAACTTGATAAGTTACTTATATTTATCGATGATTCAATGGCATGAAAGAGGAATAATTTTTAAATTCATTCCAAACCGTCGGCTTAAAAATTCTGAAATAATTCTGAATTATTACTTTGTTGTTTAACGCCACACTCAGTTCAGCACTATTTCAGTAGCAGCCTGTGAGTAATACAGTCTGGACCAGACAATCCAGTGATCAACATCATAAGCATCGATCTATGCATTTGGGATACGATTACATGAACTATTACTAATATGAATACAATGTCTTTAAAGAAATTAAGCAAGATTGTGTCACGTGTGGTTAGATAAATTAACTGAAAAATAAATAGTTATTATATTTTCAGCCACCAGTAAATTAGCGATACACAGGAGTTTCGTCGATGAAATCACTGTTAGACAGGAATATGTGAACCATCTTGTTTGGTTGGTACACTATTCTCTGCACACACAAACACATTTGGTGCTCCAACACAACGCCTTGTCTCGGCTCTACTGGCATGGTGGGCGAGCTGTCTAAGGCGCAAGGCTAGTGTTCCAGCGAGCTTGAGGTGCCTGGTGCAAAAACATTGGAGTCAATTTTCTGTGCAGACTCTTTCAATGCTGTCACAACCCCTAGTGTACAGTACACAACCCTGTGCACTTAAAAGAACCCACGAATCTATTGGTATATCATCAGATGAATACCTGCAAACACCTAGTTGCGGGTACAGCAACGTGCAGTGAACTTGGACAAAGTACTGTGACTGTGTCCCAGTCCACCCCGATGTGAATCGTACCTCGTGAGGATGGGAAAGCCGCAATAACTTGGTGCGCCTAGTGGCTGCAAGAGTTGTATGCTCTCCGAGGAGTTGAGATTGATAATACGATGTGATGTTCAGATTGACATCCAATGATCGAGGGAAACAAAGCGCTATGAGCGTGAATGTAGATGGGATGGACTATATATAAATACCCACATCCTATAGACCATAGGAACGGCAAGATGTATATACGTCAACTTCTTTATTGTGAATAACACGACGTCACGGAGTGTACGCTAGCATCTTCGTCAGAGGTGCAAGCATACACTCCGAAACGTCGTGTTATTCACAATATAGTAGGCCATTCCAAGCGATGATTTAGAGATTCTACGTGCGCTTTCCGACATTATGCGTATATCCCAGACGTGATCTGAAGATAATTTGGTTTGATCGACAGAGGGTGATTTTGAACGAAAGTTACGGCAAGATAAATTGTTGAATGTATACTACACACAAAAAGTATGGGAACATCCTAACATTTGATAGTCATTTATAAACTTAAACGTGGTAAAGTCATTTATACTCTAAGGTAAATGCAACTTTTTGTGTGCTGCATGGGCACTTTAAACGACATGCTGGAACATGAAGTGAAGCAACTGATTCAATATTCGTTGAGTTTAAGTGAAATTAAACATTGTCAAAATCAGCGAAAAACAAGGGTCTGAAACACACCAGCACCAAGTCTGTCTTCCACATGCACTTGGCTGTTCTGTTTGGGCGTTTGAATCAAACATGGTGCTGGTGTGTTTCAGCTTTAATTTTTATTTCTGCATTTGCCAGAAGTGGTGGGGAGAGTGGAAGTATGGAGTGGTTTCGTTTGGAATTTGTTTTCTTTTTCTATTATTTCTATGTGTTATTGTTTTTGTAATAACACAAACTGGTTACGTGGGGTAATACGACCAAGACAGGCAGGTTTTATTAAATATATCTTCGACTTTGAAGATTTTTGTGTTATTCATCAGCTTAGGAGTGTTGGTAGTGTTAAGTGTCTGTTGTTCGGGCTGTGTGCTCGTGTGTTTCTGTCCCACTGCATTGTATGCATTTGCCTAACTCTGTCAATTGGAATAGCTTTGTTACTATCATCCATGGTATACCTACATCTTGATGTTCTGTCAATGGAATATCTGCACCCGACATTTGTCAACCTTTGTATAGCTGAATCAACATTCTGCTAAATCAACACAACTCCATCAACACAAGAGGTAATGTCTGCCTGAGTCAATCTACAGCCGACTTAATATCTGCCTGTGTCACATTCACATCCTGAAACAAAAATATGTCTTTATCCCTAAAGCAACTGTCACATATAATATCTAAAGGACGAAAACAGGAACATACCAGGTTTTAAGATTTAACATCTTATGTGTATCATTTTAAATATTTGTTTATATGTTTCATACGATGTGTGATAAGCACTCAATATGTTTAGATCATTGCATCAAGACGTACAATCCTTTCTCTGAAACGAGGAACGATTACAGGATGACCGACGGGCACAGCTACAGGAACAACAAGTGATCATCGAGGATGACCTTGCCCTCATCAGGGAGCGAGAAGAGAGGATTCGACAGCTTGAGTCTGACATCCTTGATGTTAATGAGAAAAATCTAGAGGCAGTGATAGCTTTTAAGAAACTTCAGAAATCAGTGTTTTTGAAAATATACTACCCATCAAAAGTTTAGACTCACTAGTGTAAATGTAGTCACTAACTTCAGTCAACTGTTCTTAACTTAATTTTGCAAAATATTCCATTCAGTTTAAAGGTACTGCTTACACATGAACTAATGTATTGTAAAACAAATTCGTAACGTAATTAGATTATTGTCATGAGTTCGGTAAATGATGAAAATCAGTGATGATTGGCGAATTTGTAACCAAATTTTACACCAAAACGCAGCTGTTCACATGGACAATATTTGCACATGCTTTTTACCAATTTGATGCATGATCCTCGTACAATTCATCTGCATAAAGTTTTCTGTTGGTTCCCCCAAGTTAGTGGAGAAATTCATCTTCGATGTAACCATTTATATACATAACATATAGTGAGTGCTTTAGGTGAGTCTCAACGTATGATTTGTAGTATAATTACAGATGTTAAACCCCTTATACCCATGGTAGCTAACTACACTCACTCACGCTGATTGCATCGGGCTTGACTCTGTGATCCCAGGATTGTTCACGTAAACATAGACAAATGATAACACAGTTGTTTGTGGACTTATTTACCCATGGTAAAACTAACCACACACACTCACAAGAGAGTAACTTTAGTTTCAATCAAATACGGTGCAATTAACTGTGTCAAAAACACAGGTGCCTCTACGTTTACGTCCATGACGCTCTCGTACAGCTGTTTGGTCGCTGATGGCAGTGGGCTTATCGTTCCAGTCTCAGCTCCATGTTCTGAGACCAATGTGATAATTGATAACATGAGCATTCAATGACCGTCCGATATCGTAAGCTTCCTCATACGACTACTATGGTGTAACAGAACTGTGTTGTAGGCTGTTGTGTTTGGACGTTTGAATCAAACATGGTGCTGGTTTGTTTCAGCACCCTTGGTTTTCGCTGTTTTTGACAATGCTTTATTTCACTCAGACTCAACAAATATTGAAACCTGGTGCTTCACTGCATGTTCCAACATATCGTTTAAAGTGTCCATTAAGCACACAAAACGTTGCATTTACCTTAGAGTCTAAATGACCTCATCAGGTTTAAATTTATACATGACTATCAAATTTTAGAGTGTGTCCATACTTTTTGTTAGCAGTATTTTTACATATGCATGGTAAAACCCATTCTACGAAACAACCCAGACAAATACAGGTTGTCTAATTCAGATTTCCCGCGTGATGCGTGGATTATGTAAACATATTATATACAGAAAGTACAAGGGATCGGGGACTAACCCTCTGAACGTAAAAACGTGGTGCGTGTTGGGCGAGCTGTGACCGGCTGTAAAATCCTTGGAGTTAACTTTGTGTGCAGACTCTTTCAGTGTTGTCACAGCCCCTAGTGTACAGTACACAGCACGTGCAAACACCTAGTTGCGGGTACAGCAACGTGCAGTAAAACCTAGACAAAGTACTTTGGCTAAGTGTCCCAGTCCATCCAGCTACGAATGGGCACCTCGTAAGGATGGGGAAGCCACATTAACTTGGTGCGCCTACTGGCTGCACGAGTTTATGATCCTCAGGGAGTTGAGATTGAAATGCGATGTGCCGTTGAGAGTGACATCCAATGATCGAGGGAAACAAAGCCCTTTGAGCGTGCATGTAGATGGGATGGACTATATATAAATACCCACATAATAATATACCTCGATGAAGTTTTCAATAAATATTTTCATCACAAACAACTATTTGAAACTGACACAGAGGAAGACTGACAATAATGGAGGCATATCAAACAAGATATAGTACAAAATGTACATTCTGATAAAACCGCTAGATGTACATATTAAAATCTAATGAAACTTTCGTGATCACTCAAATCTGCAATACTATTTTCACATTGATCTGTAATTATGCTTACTCTTGAAAGATCGTCGCTTCTACTATCTGCATGGAGTATATGCGTACAGATTTTCTAATACCTTCAAAATAGTACAGAGGAGTATTGGGATTTTATGTTTCCATGCTTAATTTGAAATTTAATAATGAAATACAAATTCATACTTCTGAACATAGCTTGTTTCACATTCCGTTGGGAAAAAACACGGACCAGAAAGATGTATTCTTCGTATTTAAGTGTACCCAGAGAGTAGATCAGTTTCGAGGTTTTAAAAACAACATCCAAGGTTTTGGATACATGGGAAGACCATTTGCCATTCGATGACTGTATTATCCTCTATATGTTTATGGATTATGAAATATCACCTATACGTTTACTCAGTCAGTTACCTATCTGTGATGTTTGTTTAACGACCGCCATATAGCTGGAAAATCACCTATACGTTAACCCAGTCATTTACCTATCTAAGATGTTTGTCTAACGACCGCCATATAGCTGGAATATCACCTATAGGTTTACCCAGTCATTTTCCTATCTGTGATGTTTGTCTAACGACCGCCATATAGCTGGAATATCACCTATAGGTTCACCCAGTCAGTTACCTATCTGTGATGTTTGTCTAACGACCGCCATATAGCTGGAATATCACCTATACGTTTACCCAGTCATTTACCTATCTGTGATGTTTGTCTAACGACCGCCATATAGCTGGAATATCACCTATAGGTTTACCCAGTCATTTACCTATCTGTGATGTTTGTCTTACGACCGCCATATAGCTGGAATATCACCTATACGTTTACCCAGTCATTTACCTATCTGTGATGTTTGTCTAACGACCGCCATATAGCTGGAATATCACCTATACGTTTACCCAGTCATTTACCTATCTAAGATGTTTGTCTAACGACCGCCATATAGCTGGAATATCACCTATACGTTTACCCAGTCATTTACCTATCTGTGATGTTTG